GGTGCATTGCTGGGATAAGGCTCCAATGCCCTGAGACCTTGAACAGGATGAGCAAGTTTTGGAAAATGAAATGGATGGGTAATTGCCCCTGCCGTAAGTTAAATGCATGAATCAACATTTACTGAAAATAGATGGATATCATTTATATATCTCTCAGGCTATTAAGCTGTTAAGCTTTTATTGTGTGGCTTTTCTTCTGTCCTGAAGGGCAATTGTCCTTTTCAAATAATAGCCTGCAGTGAGACAATATGTACTTTGTCCTGTAAAAGTGGATTCAATTTCATCACAGTTTTGATCCATGCAGTGAGGCATGCATGTTTGTCGTCCTATTCAGATTTTTTTTTCTGTTGAGTTCAGCTTGATTAAATGAGAGGGACTATTATTGAAGCTAAAAGTGATATTGTGCAGATGGTCAGTTAATTGCTGTTAGTAATATTAGTAATATTATTATTATATTAGGTAATATTATGACTAGTTACATAATTTCACTCATACATTCAAGTAAATAATCATGATTAATGTATGTTTTTATTACACAGAGAAAACGATTGACCATGTTTTACCTCTAATTGACGCCCAACATCCACCCAGCACACTGATGTTGTGTGGATGTTGATGGTCAGAGAGCGTGGATCGACAATAATGAATGGTTTTACCCGTAGAAGCACTGTCTATGATTAACACAATGACGGACACACTGGCAAGTGAGGTTCTATGACCAACACAAATGGATACTCTTGGGGAGAATACACAAAACAAAGTGGTAACTCTCTCTCTCCGGGAAAGAGGTACGGGTTGGGCACACACTGCGCAGGTCAGCAAGGCTGACATACATAGACAGACATAATCAAATACATTCATATCATTTTAAATTCACATGACCATCATGTCCTTGAGCTGATGCAACGCATTTAATTAGGACTTAGCTGTGCAAAACATATATGACAATAATCAGCAACACTGTTCATAGCATCATGTGTTGCTAACACAACATTCATTAGCTCTGCTATAGTTCTTGACGTTAACTGGGCTGTGATCACCTCAAGATATAGTTAAACACAGATTAAACTAATTTAGTAAACATTTAGATAGCAAGTCAAGCCAATAATAAAAAAAATAATAATAGAAGTTATCCCAAGACACTTTCCATATAGAGACCCCTTACAGAGACCCAACAATTACCACCATGAGTAAGCACTTGGCGACAGTCATGGAAAACACAGAAAATTTAAGAAAATGCAAAATGTCTTGGAAAATTATTTCAACATTCTTCTATTTTCGGCAAAGTTATGTCCAGGATTAATGTTGAGGGCAGTATTTTGAATAGGCTGCTATCTGTTTGCTTAGCAATGCTGTGAACGCACCCTGAAGTCACATCACGTGAGTGCAAGTCGGATGATTTAGATCAAAAGTGGTCGAAGCTCTTGAAATGTACGTAAGTCACTGTTGGCTGCTAACTGTGGTAGTTTATATTAGATTTATAGATGAATGCATTCTTGTTTTAAACTGTTGAATAATGGGTTAAAATGTTTGGTTCAGTTGCTTTAGTTGACGTGCTTGCCAGCTTGTTTTGCCTGTGGCTTAAGGTTTAACTCTGGCTGAGAACAGGTTTCAGATGTGTGTTGGACATTGCTGAGAGTTGGTTCGTATAAATGGGAAGCCGGGGTTAATACAATGAATGGGAGCCCAACTGAATGTACGTATGTATAAACACCGGCTACATACTCGCTAACGGCACTTTTTAGCATCTTTGTTAGCTTTGTTTGTTGTTCAACTTTAGTCGCAATAGCTCACAGCGGTTGTGATTACTCTCGTTAAAGACTCCACTACCCAGCAGCAGCAAATATTCTTAGCAAGTTCAACTTTGAATTGTACATTTAGCTCTGTAAAGATTAAGCTAGATTTGTCAGTAGGGAAAATTCAATATTCTTAAATTTTACACACTTTAAATACACTAAACACAGTTTGTAGGTCATTGATAAGGCCAAAATAACAAATAAACTACCAACAGAAATAAAATAACAATTAACAAACAACATTTTACCAGGCTTTACTGACTGTAACTGACCATAAATAACAACAACTGGTAACACTTTTAACAGCAATTTTAAGTTAAGACAGTTCACACCTTTACTGTGTGTTTAAGGCTAGTTAATGAGTATTGCTAAGGCTCTGTGTTTGACATGTGTTTGTGGAGAGTCTCCTGTGCAGCTGATCAACAATAATACTGATTAAGTCCTCTACTGACACAGTTTGTCAGGAGTGAAGCTGTGTTTACACTTCAGGCATCTCTAATGTGAGATTTTGCATTAATGTCGAATATCTGGCATTTATCCAGTGTCTGGTATGAGAGTGGGATTTTCATGCCTGGTAATGTTCCAACCTTACATTTTCCATAGTAACACAGCTTCTCATATGCATGTAGTGTTTTCATCATGCTGCCCTTGACTGATTCAACATTTCTGAATTTCACATTATTCAATGCCGATTTCATACACATAATACACATACCACAAATTCCTGCCATAATGTTTAGAATACAGGCTTCTTCTTTATAATGTTGAAAATTAGTTGGTGGCTGTGGCTCAGAGGGTCAAACACGTTGTCCACTAGTGACAGTGGTAGAAAGTTTCCCCAGCTCCTCCTGTCTGCACATCAAAGTGTCCTTGAGCATGAAACTGAGCTTGAGCAGGATGGGGCCTGTGTGAGTTTGTGTGGGTGAATGTGAAGTGATTTGTTCTGTACTTATTTTAAAAGCATGATGATGAAGGATGATGACTGTGAGTTGTTATTTGTAGGGTTGTTGTGTGAGCACAAACCTTCATCACCAAAACACTAAACATTAAGTAGTAATGTGCAAAACTTTCTACGAAGTCATTGTCATTGCCGTGTGTTATCAGTAGCTGATTATGTTCTCTGTGTGTTTTCCAGCCCACTGCAGCGGCCGTCAGGTTTGCCTGATTGCTGAAGTTGTGAACTCCTTTGGTGAATCCTGCCCTCAGCTGGGGAGCTACCTGTCTGTGGATTACCACTGCAAAGATGGTCGGTCACACTAATCCTAGTCAATCAGTTCAATAATAAGTCTCTCAAGGGGAAAATCATACTTTCTACATCCAGTAGATGACAAGCAAGTCTGATTGTCTCTTAGACCACCCCTTTACTATAGTATATCCAGTCTTTTCAAAATTCATTGGACAAGCCAATAAAGAAATTTGTAGAGAACCACACAAAACGTGACAACCTGTCAAAGTCAATTAAGTTTTTCCAATTTCTAATATGTGTCTTTGTTATGTTTAAAAAAATACTGAGGCGTAAAGGAGCCATTTGTAAATTTTGCTATTGCTACATAACCAGCATTAGCATTAACAGCTGTTTATTTACCAGTCTAGTAGCAACATCGTAAGTTCAGCATCAAACTTCATTCCTTTACTCACCAAGATCTGTCTCCAGTTGTGGAAAGCAACACCAACGTTAATTTGTCACTTTCTGATATCAACTCACTGTAGCTCTTGTCAAGCAACAATCACCACCACCCGTTCCCAGCAAGAAACCATGCTCAGTGGCAGAGAAAATCCCCATTAATGCTTCATGCAGGCTCCCTCCCAACTTTCTGACATGTTACATTATTAAAAGTTCAGGCATAAATAATAAAATGAATGGTGGCTGAATTCAATGCAGCTGCTTCAGGTTAGGGTCCTGGGTCAAAGGTCCTGTGCATGCTAGTCAGATTTCCATCCAAATAAAACACAGGTTTTAACCATAAGATTGGCAAAAAGAAAATGCAAATAAATGTGTTTCCATGTTGTTATATGAACCATTTCAAAAGAAGAGGGTGCAGTAAGAAAAGAAAGGTAAAAGAGCTTAAAAATGTGTTGGTGATGTGGCATTTTAAGTGTTTTTCATGTCTTCTTTCCATGAAGGTTGAAGTCATGGCTTACTGGGACAGTTGAACAGAGCAGAGCCATAGCTAATGTTATTAGTAACATTTGTACTTTTCCTAAAATGAGAAGTCAAAATGTCTGCTATGAAAAATACCTATTTTACCTATATTTTCTATTCATAGCAACAGTGAGTGTTAATATCAAGCACTAAACCCAAACACATGCTTTAAAATGTTTTTCACAGACTAGTTCTATTAAGTATTTTTTTATACAGTATCTGCTTGATTTTACCTTAGACTAAACCAGTGGTTCTCAAAGTGGGGTTCAGGGACCCCCAGGGATCCTAGAGAACATTCCTGGGGGTCCCCAGCAAAAAGGGGAATAATTTATTCTCTCAATAATTCCATCCATAAGTGACAATGACAGAATGTATGACTATTTTGGTCATGGGTTTCAAACATATAAAAGCAAATATTTTGTCTGATGGGGGTCCGTGATGATCGGGGTGTCAGTTTAGGGGTCCTTGTTGTGAAGAGGTTTGAGAACCACTGGACTAAACTCTTACCTTCAAGTACTTTTATTTATCTTGAATCATTTTATGTTTACTTAACAGTTCTACACTCGTTTTTATCATAGTGACTTATTATATTATAACCTTGAAATGTGAATGAATGTGAAACCCATTAAACATCCATCAACCTTTTTCAGCATGATCTTTGATCCTGATTGGTTTAAGTAAGTTAAAACAATGTGAGCAAAACCATTTCATGATAGTGGTTAAAATTGATTTATTCAATCTGTTCATGTCATTATATCGCATTCATCAATGGAAATGAGCAAAGCAGACACTTGCACAGAGCAAATGAAGAAAGTCATGAGACTGACAGAAAAACGCTCAGATCTCACTGCTGTATTTCATATCCCTCTGTGCCTCTCTGCTCTCTGCTGAGATGAGGGTGATCTTTGCTTGTTTGTTGTTTGGAAACCCAGTTGGTTATTGGCGCTTTGCTACACTTCTGGTCTGGTTTCTCCCCCCAGGACTCACACTGACAGTGAGCGCTGTGGCTGCTGTTTTTCATGACATCACCATCAGCATCAAGTGGCTTTTACAATTGTCATGGAGAAAACTTGTGTGCAGGCTAAGCACCGGGGATGGCCGTGTCATTTATCTGGAGAGTCCACAGGGGTGAGTACTAACATTCACAGACTATGTGGGTTTGAAATGAAATAAAAAAAAAAAAAAAGAAAATTAAATCAGCACTCTACTGATTTTCCACATTAATGTTACTTTTAAAAAGGAGCTCTCCTCTGCATGTGAAAGCTTCCATATTGACTCCTGCAGCTCTGGAGGATCTTGTAAAGTTATAACCCTGATGATGTGATTGTTTAACTCGAGACTTCAATTTTATGACAGATTGAAAGGGTGACAACATGTAGACGTGGACGGTGACAGGCATAAACATCTAACAGTCAGGAAAGGTCTAACAAAAAACGTAGAATTATCAGAAATGTTGCACCAAACTTGAGACTAAAAGTCAACATATCTCTGTCTCAGCTGCTTCAGTTTTTAATATGTCCCTCAACTTTAACAAAGGTAACTACTAAATTGTTAGAATACCCCTGTAACCTAATACAGATGGTTTAGGGAATAAAGAAAATAACATTAACACTCCATATAGAACATAAAAAAATGTTGCATGACGATACAAGCTATAATATGCTGCCAGTTAGTGTTTGTCACTCTATATATTATGTGCCTATATATGGGTCCGTCTTATCCTTCTTGGTTAGATGTATGATGGATGTTTACATTATTGGGTTTAAAACTTTTGCATTTACAGATCATAATCCAAATGTACTATAAACGAAATAGTATCTTATCAATGGCAGTAACAGCTGAAATATCGTCATATATTATTAAATGTTAAAGTTATGTCAAGAATCCAAGTATAAGAAACTGTGATGCACTAAAATCACATCTGCTGTAAGTCAATTTATTATGTTTTAGCACTTGTTGATAATGTTCCTAGACCACATACTGCTTTCATTTTTCATGCAGTTCTCGAAATAATATGACACATCAGTAATAATATATTTCAAGTAAGGCCTGTTGTTTTTCTGCACGTGGAATTGGTTTAAAAAAAAAACAAGCAACTGAGAAAGATTTTCTTATAATCTAAGATGATGGACTGATTGTTTCTCCTCACATTTCTGTCAGGTAAATACTTGTGTAATACTGAAATTTTACTTTTATTACATTCATTAATCAGTTAGCGAGAAATGCCTGCAGCGTATAATCTTTAATTAGACCATATTGTCAACACACAGGCTACTGCCATGAAATTAGACACCAACTTCTATAATCATTTATGTGAATATATCTCCAATTTTCATTGTTGGAAAAACAACTGGTTCAGTTTTTTAAGTGCCGGTTTGTGTATGGCAGACTGTATGTAATCTGAATTAATTCTTTATGTCCAGAAATCAAAGACAAACTATGAAATGTTTCTCCATGTGCTTTTTCTCAGGTTAAAGAGTAGCGTGATACATGAATATACTTATCCAAGTTCATTTGTTGTGGCAGTTGAATGCAGCAGCAATGACACACACATTTCAGCCCAGAGAACAATTACCATCCTGGAACCTGTCACAGAGCTTGCTGTCATCGGGTGCCATGCTGGAAAGCTGTTTTTTAATGCAACAAACTGCAAAGCCCTGTATGGAGGGGCATTTCATATTCAAATGGAAGTAAAAGCAGGTAGGGACCAACACAATGAAAATATACCATAATTCGTCTTGTCAAATTTGACATCACTGGTTAAAAGTATCAGGTTTTGGTGTTGGAGTTTTGTATATTTTCTTTTCTCAGATGTTGAATTTGAAATCTTCTTCACTGATGTATTTCTCTTTCCTTTTATTTCCGGAGGTTCAAATGTGACTTACAGAATCCAGAGTGATGAAACGATGCTGTCTGGTTTATCATTGGTCAGAGGAAATGTTCCCCACAACATCACAGTGACTCCGGAAATGGTGAAGCAACTCGGGCCTGGTTGCCACCAGCTGATCCTTTATGCATACAACATGGTCACGTTCCCTGAAGTGTCCACAGACCTGCAGGTAAATCGACTATAAATGAGTAAAGGTGTTGTCTACTGTCAATGAAGGAATAGCAGGTAACTTGATACATATTTCCTTCATGTTTTTGTGTGATTGTGGAAGTGGCATATAAAATATAAAGAGTTAACATTTTGATCATTTGATGAAGGAGTTGATTGGAGTTAAAGCTTTTTCCTAATCACAAATTAAATTTAACCTTTAATTACAGCATCACACCAGACAATTAGTGGCATATCTGCAAACACCAGAACACAGTGGACGCACCACCCCTCTGAATTTCATCACCTCAGAGTTTAAAATTCTATGCTTTAATCCTGGTGTCTCTGTTAGGCTAATCAGTGTTACACTTTTAAACAGGGGAATGTGGTGTGAAAATTAATCATTGATCTAAGTTTAATCAGTTAAGGTGCTGCCAGGGTGCCATGTTAAACAGATGGTTTTTGATCATAGGCCATAAAGCAGAATCAGTAACTTCTTTAAAATCACTTCTTCAAACTAATTTTATAGACTTGCTTTTATGTGATGTCGTCTTTTTATCGTCGTATATATCGTATACATTATCATTATCATTATTATTATTATTATTAATGTCTATGCCACAGCAACAAATACTTTCTCTAGTAAACTTTTGTATTAGACACAGGCTTAACCACTGTTCTCCATACCACAGCTATTAGACGTGTTATGAAATGTTAGGGAATGTCTTAGGTTTTACAGCTAGCTCACAGTTTTAGAATAGCAATAGAAAATCGTATTATATATATCTATATGCATTTTTTTCCCTCACTAAACAATTGCAAAGCCAACTTTGTAAAATGTTAAAACCAGCATTGCTTACGTTCTTGTTTACTGGTCGTCCTCCTTGCCTTTGTTGATGCGTGCCTAGACCAAACAAAATTAGGTCCCAATTGTAAAAACATTGCTCTGTAATGCTTTAAACTTTCATTCATTAATTCACAGTTACCAATAACACAATGAAAAACCACCAGTAAAACCGTGTAATAAGACATACTTTACAGATTAAGTTGTTATCGTTGTTAATGATTGATATACTGCTGATTAATATTTTGCCATCCCTCAACATACTTTAGTGAAGGTCAAGGGTTTCAGATTCTAGACCAAAAACCACTTTTAAATGACGTACTGACTATGATGGCTTATTGTGAACTGGAAACATTATCTGTTGTGATAAGTTTTACCCACTAGTGATATGAGAGAGAAATTAATGTGTTTCTCACTGTAATTCTTCATATAATGCAGGTGTGTGTTTTAGAGAAAGTAGCCGGACTTAAGGCATCCGTGTTGACAGAGAGGGATGGCTGTTTAGACTCTTCAGATACTACTGTTGGTGTTTCCCTTGAACGGGGAGCGCCTGTGCTGCTGCTCTTCTCTCTGACAGGAGACAACAGCAATTTATTCTATGAAACCAGAGAAATGAATGCGGGGAAAGGAATTTTTCATATCAGACACACAGTTCAAGGTATGGAAGACATAGCAAAAGAGGGTGCCACATATGAGGCAAAATACCACTCTAATACAATGATTTCTGAAACACTTTAACATAACGATTAGAAACAAGCAGAATAAAGAACATTGTGTGTATTTAATTTACATTTCTCTTGTTTAAGCAGTGTTTAACTGAATGTTTTTTTACAGGCAGTGTAAAAGTGAAACTCAGAGCAAGAAATGTCTTCTCGTCTCTGGACGTGGATGTGGATAAGTTTGCTTCCTGTGGCAAAGATTCAGTAGTTAAACTAAATGGTCATAATGACCATTGGCTGAACATTAACAAGAGACAGGTAAAACATTTTTTTTTTTTAACACAGTAGTAGTTTTGGTGGCAGTGTGGGGTGATGTTTTACAGAGGAATACTTCCCAACTTTCAGTATACTGTAATATTTATAAAACCTTTTGTTCATTTTCAGAGAAAGCAACACATTAGAGTTGTCAGATCTTCATTGAAAATAATTGCAAAACCTTCACCTTCAGTATCTACCAAACTGAAAAATATCACACTTTCCATAAGAGACGGACCCGACCTAACAGATCCAGAGAAACAATACCAGTGGGTGTGCAGTAAGTATCATATTTTTCTACTTAAATGTGAGAGCAGTGAGATCAAGAATTAAATGTTTAGTCTATGTTTCAACATATTTTGATGTTTTGCTCGTGCGTTGCTCGGCGGGACATTAGGACAGAACATTATGTGCAGGTTTCTCATTTCTAACCTGGAATTGTCAATTTTGCCTGCTAAAATGACAACTGTCGCTGGCAGAATTTATGAGCTTTAACTAGCTAGCTGATCAAACCAGCTTATGCTCCGTGAGTTGATAGAAAACTCTACTCTGCACTTTTCAGTATATCCATCCCAATATCCCAATATATCGTTTTAAAACAATAAGAATCTTGTAAAAAGGGATCTTGAATATGCAATAGAGTAAGTATGATGAGGAGAAATGTAAGATTTCATTCCAACACAACCTTGTTTGGCTGTGTAGCTTATTCCTTTTTGGGTTTGTATCTTACATATCCTGCTTTTTATTTTCAAACTGTCTCTTTCATTTTAAACGTTCCTAGAGAAAAGGCTTTTAGGATGAGAACCCCACCCAATGTGTTTGACTAAAGTAATGCCATCTTGAATAATGTTGGCTGGAGTTGGTGCAGTGTAAATTTCCCCAAAGCCAATGAAGAGCAATACAGAGCTGTTAACTTTAGCTTTAACTCTGATGGCATCCAGGGCAGGCTTCCACACACTAGTGAAATCCTGCACAGTGCTAGTTGTGACCAGGGCTTTTTTTAAATTTTTTTATTAACATAACCTGTAACACCACAAACTAATGTAGAGGTCATTAGTTCAGACAGGACCTGATTAGTCAAGATACAAAAGTCATTAACTGTACCCATGCTAAATAATGAAATAATTTTTTGGGTTTTATTCTTGCTGATCAGAGTCAGTATCCATAACTATCAGGCTACTTCCACATTACTGCTAGTTTTAAAACTCTTCTATTTTGCTATGTTTACGCCTGGTGTCCACACTACTCCGGAGTTTCCGCCCTTAAAACTCAGACTTTTGGAAATGGTTGCGCGCAATATGCGTTTTCAGGTGTGATTGTATGGACAGAGATCATTACTGTTATGGAGCTAAAACAGTCTGGACAGAGATCGTCTTTGGCGTTTTTAAAACGAAAACATAGTGTAGCTGTAGACTCAGAATATTTTACAAGCTGAACATTAGTCTTAAGTGTTTTATATCTGCCTGAATTGCAGTGGTATAATGACTTTCCTTGTGATCCACAGGACATCCCTGTAAATGCAAAGGAGAATTTGAGAATTTGATTCACACCATCAAAGAAAGCTGCATACCAAATCCATTTCAATTTAACAAGTATCGTTTTATTGTGAAAGAGGGAGATGATAAAGAAGTGGAAGAAACTCAATCCATATGCATCACCCTTACTCCTGAGCCTGACAAAGAAGCTTGGCTAAGGTACTTGATCTTTTTGAAAATCATATTCTCTCACCACGAGGAGCACTCATCTGTGTGCCTTATCTGCCGGAGTGCAATTTTCTTATATTGGAAATCTGTTGAGGAGGTGAAACAGTGGAATTAACATTTTTAGCTCTATTGACTTCAGTAAATTATTGAAGGAAATGAGACAACTTTGTAAATGAGTTATATCTCACTTACTTTAGAACAAAAGGTGTTATTTTAACGTGAAGTTCTTTTTCTTTGATTGAATATAACATCATAAATTACCAGATCAAGCAGATAAATTGCTGATCAGTCAGCCTATTTATACTGGTGCACAGTATAAATAGCATTAAACTCCATTACTAGACAGCTTTTTTTGAGATGTAAACATACTAATTGTGTGTTAACCAAATTGTCTGTGTACTTGTTGTGCTATAGTCTCACTTGTACTCAAGGCTGTGGCCCAGTGGGGAGAGGCAGAGATGCAAAAATTAAAATGAAATGTAGGAAAAGCGACGTGTGTTCAAAAGTCGTGTGGTACATTGAGGACCAACGTGATCACAGATATTGGCCAGTAAGTTTGAAAAATAAATTCTGACTTGTTTAAGACTGAGAAATCAGATACTGTTAAATGATGTAAAAGGAACAATTTGCCATTGACTTAATGGATTTGCATGTTAATTTATTTACAGGATGAGACAAAGAGCTGCTACAAAAACGCAGGGAAAAGGCCACTTGTACAGAGACAGGGTGGCGGGACTGAATACACTGTGAAATATGAGCATCTTGCACTGGCCAAGTTAAAGGGTCAGAGTGTCACTGTGGTGGTAACTTATGGTGTGTATGCATTAGTCGATAATACGGTGTTAAAGCTACTTGTGAATTATCTTGCCAAGGTGATTTTTGGGTTCCAGACCAATCATGAATTTGTACCAGTGTTACAAAAGTATGGAGGTGACAAAAGGTTAATGATCAGAGGAGTTTTTTTCATTTACATACTCGTTTAACTAAAAGAGATAAAAAAAAAAGATAAAATTAAATTCATCTGAAAACTCCACCCATTGCAAAACAATCAGCACTATTTCAATTCAAAGGAATGATTTTAAAGATGTTTGTCTTTCTCCTTTTCTCCATAACAAACCATTCAATACAAAATAGCACCTTTATATCTTTGAAATAATACAAATTACACATTCTCCTTTTATTTTTATATCAAAGGGGGTTCTGAACCTCTTTTCACAAAATACAACATAAAGACATCATCATCTACACAGAACCCGTCATCTACCACCAAACTACCAGCTGCCGATGTTACGACAGCCAAACCTGGAGAGAAAACACCAGCCGCTGCTGGTCCTGTTACTACAGCACCGGGCATGATCAGCAGCAGCACTATCACCACTACCAATGCTATAACCAGGGATACAACTTTACCATCAACCACCAACAATGCTGATAGCCTGTCATGTAGCATATCCCCAACAAATGGAACAATCTTTACAGCTTTCAGTATAACTTGCAGGACTGAAATTCCCTGTTCCAAATGTCGCTATTGTTTTAAGACTGAGGGTAAGTACTCAAGGTTGCCTAAATCTCTTAGTAAGAGACTGATGCATCTTACTCCAACAATCTAAATTACAGTGTCTTACTGTTTTTAGTACTCACATAATGATTAATTGTGTACAAATCTATTAATCCAACTTATTATCTTGTTTCAAAATTGTCAGGTAAGAATCTGCGTTGCAGCAAGAACAGGAAAGTGAAATCTGTGTTCCTTCCCCACGGCGACAGCCGTTCTGATTACAAGCTGATAATCACAGCCGCTGCAAAAGATAAGAGCTTTGTAGTTCGCACCACTATAACTACACAGGTTGGTCAAAAACATGATGATTCGAATAAGGATGTCAACAGAACAAGACCTAGGGTAATGCTCTGCTTCTCCACTACACTACTATAAGAAAATGGCTTTTTCTCTTCAGGTGAAGGACTCCATAGAAGACTCTGGCTCTTCAGTAGATGCTCTTAAGGCATCAGTGGAGGATACTGTGGCTCAGCTGAAGAAACAAGGCATACTGTCAGGAGAAACCATGGGACAAATCTTCAGTTCTGTGTCCGACAAACTGAACAGTCAATCTGATGAATCAAAAAAAGCTGATAGACAAAAGGTAAACCCAGTTCGCACAATATGATTGAATTAGTAATGACGCATTGAATTTGCATTCATGTCTGACATCAATTGATGCCTTTTATTGTACAACCTCTTGTGTGCTTGCTGCCTGTCAAATATTATAAATAGTCAAATATTACGACTACATACAGTAATGCAGCTATAGCATTTTCTTTCCTCAAAAGACTCAAATTTAACCACCTCCTCTACAGGCTGGCGAGAAATTGTGAGAACGTTGAGCAAATTGCAGGTTGTGACGTCGGGTGACAAAATCACATGTTCCAAATGTCTCATGCCATCGCACAATTAGCCAATGTTGGATTTTGATGAACCTGATTTTCATTTCCAACTAAAATTTATCATCTGTCCAATTATCATCTGTCTTTCTGATGTTACATTGATGTCTGGTGCCACTGGGCTGAGTCCTCTTCATTAGGGGTCCAAGCAGCGAAGGGAGCAAAGGGAACCCCTTTTTCTTCTCGTTAGTATTATTTTTTTCTCGGTTAAAAGTGTTCATGCAGCAAAAATTACTGCACAACATTTTCTTTTTTGCTCTGTGTTGGATTCAAAGTCACCAAATTAATTGATAATGATTCACCTAAAACCAGTAGAATAATGTGTGTTTTTTTTCAAGACTTTCACACCAACATTTTGACAGTTTTTTAAAGTGAAACAAGCAAAAATACCGCAGTTTTGCACATGTGATGTCATTGCCTCAACTTGTGTGAAGGCGTGTGCAGCACATGGTTACCCAGTGGCGCAACCAGTAAGTCACCTTCTCTGGGGATACCAAGGTCAGGGGTTTTGAAATCCCAAATGGCCCTAAGTCCTGTTTCAGCCAGAATTCTATAGCAATTCATACATATGGTATTTAAACGCTTGCAAGCTGTTTGGACCCCGATAATTGCAGCTTGCAGCTATATTTTAAAATATTTTTAATATATTATTTTTATTTCCAATATATCTGTTGGCAGTCGGTACATTGAGACATTGGGCTCAGGTGCAGTGCCAGCGCTAGTACAAATGTAGTTTTTATGCAATTTTTTTTTTTTTTTTTTTTTTTTCCCAGCTGTTTTATAATTTAATGCCACCAAATGAATGTGTTAGTGCATATGTGGGAGAGAGGAACAGCTTAAGGTGATTAGGTAGTGCAGTGCAATTCTGGTTCTCATTTTGGCAGGAAATTGCATATGTGTTCAAACCTGTTGAGACCACCTATTATCGCAAACGCAGGGATTTTTGTGGCTTTATCTCGCAGAGGCGCACATACAGACCTCCGAAATAAAAAAATAAAAAAAACACTTTTCAGTCATGTCAAGTTTGGCCTCTTCCTGCTTGGTACATTTCCCATTCACAGCTGATTGAGAAAAGATTACCAACAATATCATCCACATGAGTGTAATGATGGTGACCCAGAGTTCTGCAGAAACATCGATACTATTGTTATATATGATGAGTGAGCTGCATGCAACTTGTGGAATGTGGTATCTTTTCTCTGTAGCTCACTCACCTGTGGTTCACCTGTATTCAACATACACACATTTTGTCTGTTAAAGCTTCGTGAACAGATGCTGGACATAATGATTGACACAGTGACAGAGGTTCCCACCAACTCTGCAGAAGAAGTTCAGGCGATAGCCAGCGGTCTTACTGCTGTCGTCCAGAGAGGCACTGAACTCAGCTCCTCTGCTCAGGTACTGTTAACCCCACACTGAATAAAATAGGACATTATAGGAGAGAGGAATAAATTATCACTGCATGAATACACTAGGTGTTGCTTTCACTGAGGTGTAAGGCTTTATGTTGATGAATCATCATTGTCTTGAGATTTGTGGTCTTGTGTAGGAATATCCTTGACAGCAAAAAAAAAAAAAAAAAAGAAAAACCTCCAAAAAAATGTAGTCCTGATTGTAAGAGTTGATTCTGACCTGCAGGCAGAGGCTTCATTATTATTTGCCAAACTCAGCTCATCTCTTCTCCACATGGACATGAACAAAAGTGAAGAAAACATGGAAGAAATATACACTGCAGCCAGCACCATTGTGGAAGGAACAAGCAATATCCTGAGCTATTCTTCCAATGTGAGTTGTTTAACCTTAAAGCCCCTGCTGATGGGATTGCTTATTGTTATTATTATTATTATTACTTCTTAGGGAAGGTTGGTTGATTTAAATTGGTGATTTGAATGTGATTTGGCTCATCCAAGGAGTATTTACAGTGCCCAAACGTTCGGTTTTTCAGCATTTCTGTTGGTTCCCCATTTACTTCTAATCAAGACAGGCACCATCTAGCTTAAATTGTATCTCTTAAGTTTTTTTGTACTCAGTGCACAAAGTGAGTGCTGTGTGACAATGGTCACATGATGACATGATGGACTATGTTGGTCTATCACTAAGTTCTTGGATCAAAATGTCAGGAACAATAAGTATAGTGACCAGGAGCTTGGCCATTGATTAATCACCCATCTTACCTGGAATATTCATCTTAATGTCTGTCTGAATTTGCAGATGACTGACAAAAATAAGCAACCTCTCCCTTGCCATAAATGCTGTTATCTTTTGCAGAAAAACATCTCTGATGCTATCCTTGTTGCCCTGGAAAATACACAGAGTGCACTATTGATATTTAAAGATGTTAACAAGGGGCCAACTATTATCCAACAAGCTAATATTAGCCTTTTTGTTAACAGGTAAGTTCAAGCCATGAAGTAGATAGACAAAACAACAGCTCAAACCACACTACACACTATACTTTTGCTTTCAGGAAGATAGTATGTATGGTATATATGTATGGTAAAGCTGGTTGTCTTAGTTTAGAATAAAGACAAAACAGGGGGAAAGAGCTTGCCTGGCTTTGTCTAAATGTAACAAAATCCATCTTCCAGGACATTTAAAGTTCACTAATTAAAACTTTATATCTAGATATGAAGGTTATGTTATTTTTAGAGATACAGTAATCCACCCTACCATTTAATCCAGTTAAAATCTTGTTAATCTTGTTTAAAGGAGCTATTTGTAAATTTTGCTGTTGCTACATAGCCAGTGTTTGCATTATTAGTTGTTTACTTACCAATCTTACTGAGAGCCATTGTTCAAGTCATGTACTGAACATTATTAATATATCTCTTCACACTGGCATCTTTCCAAATGCCTTCAAAACTGCTGTTGTAAAACGCTTACTAAAGAGACTCAACCTAGTCAGTAATGTTCTGACCAACTGTAGGCCAATATCTAATCTTCCATTCATTAGTAAGATACTTGAAAAGAGTCTCAGTGCAAATAAACTCCTTTCTTAAAGAAAACAATATCCTGGAGGAGTTTCAGTCAGGCTTTAGAACAAACCACAGCACTGAAACTGTTCTGACTACAATAATCAGTGACCTCAGACTAAACTCTGATAAAAAAAATAAGGTGTCAATTCTTGTCCTCTTAGACCTAAGCGCGGCGTATGATACGATTGACCATAATATCTTGATCAATTGTCTTGAAAAGTTGGTCGGTCTTTCTGATCAAAGGGAGAAAGTTTAGGGAGCTACCATTATTATTCTCACTGTACATGCCACCACTTGGTGACATCATCGACAGCACAATGGTTATTTCCACAGTTATGCGGATGCCACACAACTGTACATCTCTGCTGAACCAAATGATGCTGCAGCTATAAACTCCATTACTACCTGTCTTATAGCAATAAATAAATGGATGCTCAAAAACTTCTTAAAGTGAAATGAGGACAAAACTGAAATCCTACTAGTCATCCCCAAAACAAAAAGAGAAATGCTGTTTAATAACCTGGGGAAACTGACTCCCTGGATTAAATCCAAGGTTACAAGTCTTGGTGTTATCTTGGATTCAGATCTTAGCTTCAAGTCCCACATCAACAAGGTGACAAAAACATAATTTTTCCACTTTAGAAAATAGTTAAAGTACGGCCATTTATAACCAAAAGATGCTGAAAGATTGATTCATGCCTTCATTTCAAGCTGACATGATTACTGCAACACACTTTTTACTGGGCTCCTGAAAAAAAACACTGAGAGACTTCAACTCATTCAAAACTCTGCAACTCTGCTATTAACCAGAACCGAGAGAAGAGAGCACATTAGTGTAGCTGCTCTTCACTGCCTTCCTGTCACATTTAGAATTGATTTCAAGGTCCTCCTTCTAATATATAAAGGCCAATGGGCAAGGACCAAGCTACATTGCTAACTCCCTGATTAACTATTAACTTCTAAGAGATTACTAAGAACACTGAGATCTGCTGCTTTATTGAAGGTTCCCAGCAACAGTCATAGGAATAATTGGGGATGCAGCCCTTGTCAGTTATTGCGATGCACTGTGCGTGTGGGTGCTTCCTTACCCTCAGGGAGCAGAACGTAAACTGGGTGGCCCTCCTGCGGAAGTTGCAAATGAGTACTCGCTCACCTGGAAGCAGAAGTGTCAGCTTGGCCCGTTAATGATTTATTATTTTATTCATTATTTTATTTGTGCTACATTTCTTGTATGAAAGATGCTATACAAATAAAGTTTATTATTATTATTATATTTAGTATAGTAGCAGTGCTACTTCTTCAGGGCAGACTCTTTTCACCACTGGAGACAGCTCTTGGCAAATAAAGGTTTCGTTCTCCTAAACTGGTAAGTATACAGCTCTTAATGCCAACGTTGGCTATGTAGCAATAGCAAAACTTACAAATAAGTCCTTTCACATCATTCATTACCATCTGAAAGATTAACAGAAACAGCACTGAAACTCAACACACATTCAAACTGTAGAGCAATACTTTTGGCCTGTACACCATTTGCGTCAAATAATTTTTTGGCAAGATTCCATAAAATGATTCGAATGCAGCAGTAGGCGTGGTAAAGACAGCTAGGGAACTAAAATTCAAAACAAGTTTAAGTTTAATATGAGTCTTTTTCTTTTTTCTTGCAGAGTGAATCCAGGAAGTTTGCACACGGATTCTTTAAATATTCCCAATTGTTCCTGCCCCTCATTTTCTCTCCCAGAACTACCCTCCAACATATTTCCTTCAGAAGAACCAGTGGATATACGAGTAAATTTGTGTTAATGTGTCAAATCCAAGTTATTTTCAGTTACAAGTGTCTGCCTTGATCATGTGGTTAAAATTTATTTTTTCTTTGAATACATTTACAGATGCTGAGTTTAGATAAAAATCCATTTTCGTGGAATGAGAGAGGAAACATCAGTGGGTTAATTGGTGCTTTATCCCTTACAACAAAAGATGGCTCCAGAATCAATGTGGAGAATTTGAGTGAGAAAATTGAGGTCAGTGTAGCATCTGAACACTTTTCTATAGGCTGCTGTGCTCTCCTGCTGAGAGCATGTTCTCCGAGGGGACAAATCTCTGCCTTCTTTAAAGAAAAACAGACTTCAGTTTCAACAAGACAAAGTGCTGAGGGAGCCTGTACTAGAAGGAGCACACTGTGAAATAAAAACTAGGCCTGATCTTGTATGGCGGATGTACATTTCTTCATGTCCAAAACCGATATTTTTCAGGAAATTAAAAAAAGGTTTTTAAAATAATCAAGCAACGCAAGATTTTGTCAGCACTGATTTATGGAAAGAAAAAAAAAAAGTGTTCTGCCTGACAGAGATGATTTACAGTATATTAAATTAAGCATATAACCTGTTACAGCTGTTGTTTTAGCAAGTAAAATAAATTTGCTTAAGGCTCCATTTACTCCATTTTATTTTAATGCAGCAGGCAGCTGGTACTAAATGTGTTCAATCTTCTGTGACTGATTCAACATAAGAGGAGCACACCTAGAACTGCTCTTGTGCAAGTGGTTATGTTTAAAAGGCCTATATAGTTTTTTTTTTTTTTAATTTATGCAAATCATAAATTAACAGCGATGGAGACTCATGCACTGAGCTGGAAACACACAGCTCCTTGAATAATTGTAGGATCTTTTATATTTTTATCTCCACTTGACAACTGTGCTCATTATACTCTTAAAGAGTCTGGCAAATGAAATGTCATGATTTTCTATGGCTGACTGTGGTAAACACAGTCACGTGTAAATGAGAGAGGCCAGGCAGTCCACAGTTTGTTCATTCTGGATATGTTGTTTATTATTACTTAACCTGTTGCTGTTATTCACACTCATTAAAATTGAGAATTTTTTTTTCTTATCTGTAACTGCAGTTGGTACCATAACCACACATCCGCTTTAGAGAAAACTAATTTTTAAGACACTAAGCTTAAATTAAATGAAGGTCATTTACCAAACCCATACACATTTGAGCCTGACGCACAGCTACAAATTGCAGGGCTAATTAAAAAAAGTTACGCTGATGTAATTCAGCTTGTGAGCCAAAATTATGTCAAGCTAAGACTGTAAATGAGGATACTAGAAAGCACACTCTGATATACTACCTGCCCGGTAAAATCTTTGATTCTATTGTAAATTGTTAAAACTGGGAATAATTGTTTTTGCATTTTTAAGCAAAGCATCTGAATGAATATCTGTTTTCTGGCATTTTGCCTGGCACATAGATCCTGTTGCCAAGGCCTGTTGAAGAGCAGGTGAAAACCTCAGTTTTGGACCTGGGCAACTTCAGCACAACGGTCATAGATGTTCCTTCAGCTGACTCTACACTGGTGTTAAAGGTTCAGTAACATGTTTTATCTCCACTTCTTAGACATATAATGATTACTTTCATTAAAAATGAATTTTGCTGCAGCTATATTGATATACCTTTTTGAAGATGGTGCCTTCAAAGGATCCATTACCCCTCAAACTGTTCCTTGGCTATATGGGCTACCCCACTGAAACAAATTATGTAGCAATGACAGAGATGCCTCACCAGGGGACTACCCAAGGTAATACATCTTTTTGCTCAGTGGTGGAGACAGTTATTTTAGCTCTTATGCCCTGATGCATGACTTGAGTACTTTTGTGTTTTTCTGATACAGAGGAGAGATACACTTGGCTACTAGACCATAAGAGTTTGAAAGGAAACACAGGAGTGCACTATCTTGTAGTGAAGCCCATAGTAGGCCCGGGTATAAAATCCATCAATGCCAGTTTATCAGTCACCTCCATCACTGCCGCATGTAAATTTTGGAATGAATCATTACTGGATTGGAGCGATGCAGGATGCAGGGTAAGTACAGCAGTTCAGTCTGCCTGTCATGTTTACCATGTTGTCTAAACTTTAATAATAGTAAAGGCTGCTGTCTTTCAAGGTTGGTGTTCAGACCACACATTTAGTCACCCAGTGCCTCTGCAACCACCTCACCTTCTTTGGGAGCTCTTTCTTTGTCACTCCCAACCTTGTTGACCCATCACGCTCAGCTGAGCTGTTTGGGACCTTTGCTGAGAATCCTGTGGTTGTCTGCTTCGTGGGTGCGCTCTTTGTGGCTTATCTCTTGGTGCTTGTGTGGGCACGACGAAAAGACATCCAAGATACTGCCAAGGTACAGTGTATCTTCATCACCAGACTATAATAATGAGGTGACATTACTCAAAATGTATTCTGTTTCTCAATTATATTACACATCTTGAAAGATAATATTTCCTAGTACTCTTGCTATTGCTACATAGCTAACGTTAGCATTAACAGCTGTTTACTAACCAGTCTAGAAGAAAGGTGAGTTCAGCATCAAACTTCATTCCTTTAGTTTCCATGAACTGTCTCCAATGGCAGATAGCAACACCAATGTTAACTCTTGTCTCTGTCACTACTTTTCTTCTACTGAAGTTAGCACGCCAACATCTAGCCCCGGCCCGTCTCAAAACCTTCCAATAGCGACTCCCGGTAGCCTCCAATCTGCCCTGAAAACCTAGCACTGCTTAGGTGTGTTACATCCTCTTGTATCATAACGACGATGTTGATCGAAGCTCTGCTCGAGCAACAGCTACGTAAACAATAAACCATGTTTGGTGGCAGGAAAAACTTAATAGCCCTTTTAAGATTTAACATCTAACAGATTTCTTTCTTTGTTTTGTTGTGACCAAATTTGCGTTCAGTCCATTTTTATGTAATATTTTCTGTATGTTGGTTAATTTGCAGGTGAAGGTGACGGTGCTGGATGACAATGACCTCATGGACGAGTACCGCTACTTGTTAAGTGTTAGCACTGGGCATCGGAGAGGAGCCTCCACTTCCTCTCAGGTAAATCTGTTTTCAGTTCAACATTTGTAGCAAATGCAGTCACATTTTGCTGAGACAGCTAATCCTTAATAAGCATACACTAACATGAATCTTAGTTAAACACCCAATTCCAAACATACTACATGAGGAGGAGGCTAGCATGGCAGAGCAAGCTGCAGCAGTAAACCATGTTGGCATGAATGAATGAACAGAGTTATAGTGATAGTAGCTAGGTTTCCATTCAATGTTTTACTGAATGTTTCCACCACCAGAAAGAAGTTCTGCAAAAGAAAAAGCAAGTTAATGCATCTTTCCATCTACTATGCTATGCTAATAGTGGGATTTGGTTTGTCAAGACAAACAGCTGGTGGTTCTAATTCTCTAGGCAGGTGCCATTTAAACCTTTGTAGAAGAAGGGTGCAAAAGGATGACATAATTGAAAGAGCTCCAGTGAAACTTAAAATGGTGAAAAACTATGTAAGAAACATGATGGAAATTTGGCAAATTTTAGGTTTGTTTGGTTACGGTCTCTTCTTCGTTGCATGAAGCATTGTTTAAGTCACATACTTCATGTATGTGTTATGATTTATCCTTTAAGTCTGTTTCCATTGCACTTTGTTGCTCTTTGCTTTTGTTGGGACACCAACTTTTCCACCTGTTTTCTTTTACTCTTGTAAAAGAGTAAAAGCTCTTGTAATATAGCTGAATGGGTGAGTGTTACCGTATTTGCTCAGTTCATTTGTCTTGCTGATTGTCAGTATTAACTGTTCAAACCAGTCCTCAGCCTATACGCCCCGTTATACTGTATGTGGAAGCAAAGTAAGTGCATTTATTTCTGTGTTGGATTTTCACTCTCAACATGCAGACTGCTTAACTGTTTTAGGTGACAATTACTCTGTTGGGTCCAGATGGAAACAGTGAGCCGCACCACCTGACAGATCCAAAGAAATGTGTGTTTGAGAGAGGTGAGGTGGATATGTTCCTGCTAACGACACCCTACTGTCTGGGAGACCTTCAGGGCATCAGGCTGTGGCACAACAACTCAGGGAGCCATCCTGCCTGGTAGGCAAATACTGAAATGTCTGAGCTACTCAAAAAGAAAAGAAATGCATCCTTGAAATGTATTCATTGTATTGTGACGTTTCTTCTGATGTAGTTGTAGTGAACTAGAACACTGTGAACATTTACTGTACTTACATGTTGCTGACTCACACTGACTGCTTTTTCTCAGGTATGTAGGTAACGTCATGGTGCAGGATTTACAGACGAACCAGAAATGGCATTTTCTATGCAACTCCTGGCTGGCCATAGACATCGGTGATTGTTCCCTTGATAAAGTTTTTCCTGTCTCTACAGAGATGGATTTGAAGAGGTTCAGGTAAGGTAAAAACACTGAGGCACATGGGCGGCAAAACTACACGCACAACCACGTCTGAAGGCTGAAAGTGAAACCCAAACAGAGATTTTTCATTTGAATAACACATGCATTGATTAAATGCAAATGGAATACAATAGCTGGTTTGGAGTTTACTTCTAATAATGGTAAATTTACTGCAAGCTTGATTTTTGAACAATGACAGTCGTATGTGAAAGCCAGCGGAACAACAAACCAGAGCTTTCAATTGAGTCCCAACTTCTATTCATGTGAGGCTGGCAATGTTTGAGAAATCTACCAACCAAAATGCAAATCTAAATGGAAACAACTTTAATATTACTTACAAGGATACTTCAAATAAGCAACCTTAACCCAGACTTTCCAGCAACATATTAATTTAAGTATTTATCATAAATATTGCCAAGGACAGAATCTGTTGGCTTGGTTAACCTGAGCCAGATTTTCAAAAGGCATTCTAAAATTGAAACTGAAATATGTAACAGGAGGGTGCAAAATTAATAGCACTGAGTATACCTGATTAAATCAATGAACAGTTACACTCTGAGCTAAGCAGGCTACAGGCAATGCTGTGTTTTTTATATATTATATTTGGCTTCATGCTGATTTATGATGCGCAGTAAAAAAATAAATAAATGCATTTAAGACATTAAATGGAATACAGGCTGTCACTTAGCCCAGTTGAGTCAGCCTACACACTGAGGTGGTGATTTACTGAGGATTTATGACTCTTAAGGCACTCAGGTGTCAAATAGTTATAGATCTACACTGAGGTTTGGCTGCAATAAAATTAGCTTGACGAGGTTAAAGTGTGATGCTAATCCATCTCTAATTGGCTGTTCGTGTAGGATTAAAATGTTTTTATTTCACAGTTTTACCCCTTGTTACTTTTATTTTACAGTAATTTGTTCTTCATGAAGACAACAAAGGATTTCAGTGATGGACACCTCTGGTACTCTGTGGTCAGCCGACCACCGAGCAGCACCTTCACTTGTGTGCAGAGAGTGTCCTGCTGTTTCTCTCTGCTGCTCTGCACCATGCTGACCAGCATCATGTTTTATGGTATCCCAACAGACCCATCTGAGCAGACCATGGATCTGGGTACAGCACATTTTCATTACAGCTCAATTTACTCAAAGAAAAAAGACCTGTGTGTTATTAATCCTGGGTTGGCTCTTTGTATGTTCAATTTTATGAGGATCTTCTGTATGGCCTTACAAAGTTAACAGTTCTTTGCTGTACAACGTTTTATAAAAACAAACCATTTGCATGATTACCAGTTATATAAATACTTCATAATTTATGGACACCAAAACTGATGTGCACATCCATTACAATTTCTTCTCTCTGGTCCCAGGTCACTTTGAGTTTACCTGGCAACAGTTCATGATTGGAGTTCAGAGTTCGCTCATCATGTTTCCAGTGAACGTCCTCATTGTTAGTATCTTCAGAAACACCCGTCCTTGGGAGACATCTTGTTGCAAACGCAAAACAGAAAAAACAGATGCCCTTGAGCAGGAGAGAACTTCCCAGACTCCTTCCTCACAGACTGACACCACCAACACAAATGTCAATGTCACTTTAGACGTTATCATCAAGGTAGGTGCTTCATGTTTTTATGCATGAGATGCTGCTAAACCAGTATCATACAAGTAATACAAATAAACTTTTTTTATGGCCCATGACACTACTTACATACATATTATGTATATGTGTCACTTTACTTAACTTTTTTCTCTCTCAGGATATCACAAGAATTGCCCATTCATTATCTAAGACCGTAAAAAGCAACATCCCGTGCACAGCGTCCGAGTTTGGGCCAGGACAACAAGTTGATATCAATGCTGTTCTTTCTGTGGTGGAGGATTTCATCAGACAGAGTAACAAAAGCAGTGACAGTGCCCAGTCAAAAACACAGAGATTTTCTAACCTCGTTCAGCCGCAGCTACCAGGTTTGTTGTGCTGTGGATACATCTCCTCGGCTACACATTTCAGGGTTTCTGCCCACTCTCTAAGCTAGTACAACACTATTCAAAAGTATTTTACCTGCTGCATACCAAACTACTTTTATGCCTCCACCCCAGCAACAGCCAAGTCCGAAGGTATAAATGTCCGCTTAGACTCCAGGATGAACTGATTATCTGGTGTTCAAAGTCACTGTGACCTGATAAAACACATTTGTGGCCATAATTCACAAATTCATACATTAATTATGACACAATTGTCTGAAAGGGGAAATTATTATTACTGGTTGATGGAAGCATACAACCGCGAGGAGGTAATTCTGGTTTTATATCGTTAAAATTTCAGAATAAGAAATTTCAACTAAGAAGTGTTGAAGTTTTATTTTGTCATCATTCAAAAATAACACTTCTCATGGGTCTTAGCCACTGCCAAAGCCTCATAGGAGCATGGAATTGTTGAATTTTAAACTGTAATCATTTTTATCATTGTTAAAATGAACAATTGCACAAATTTTACAGATCCATTAAGCTTAGAATGAATACAAGAAGCACCAGTATGTGTCAGCTTATCAAAAAGATGGGTGACAGAAACACAAACAAGGCAGATCTTCACTTCCCCTAGTTTCATGCCTTTTATTTTGTTATTACCTCCGCCAAGGAGATTACGTCGTCACCCGTGTCTGGTTTGTTAAGCAGGTTGCTTACAGTGTTGCACATAAACATCCAAAGAGTACCCATCATCACGATACCAAATAATATGCATAAACTGTATCTGCCCACTGTTAACATTTATCAGAATCAGTTCATTCTGAATCTACGAGCCGGCATGATGTACAGTGTACTCTGTGTAAAAATTGTTTATTGTTTATAAACTTATCAGAGACAGAGGGGAGATCAGTTTCCTATTTTAAAGTAATGGGTGGTGCGCTGTAATGTACAGAGACTAAACTGGAATACAAAGGAGAAACACACCCACAAGATTTAGACTTAATCAGAAGAGTAACAAGGAGATGGACAGGTGGGAAAACATTCAAGGGAATTCTGTCAGGTCTTGAAGCTTGTGTCATGATAGATATCCTTTAACAAGAGTACACTGTATCTCCAGAACCCAGGATGAGTGTATTATTGTTCTAATTTGATGATAAGTCACGGAGCATGTGTGAAATGTTTTTCATTTTAGAGTGAGTGGTTTTCAGTTCAGATAGAGAGTCAGACATAATGGCGCCCAGGGGGAAATCTAAATTGGTACACAGAACAAACTATTCTCTGCCTGGGAATCCCTGATATAGAATCAAACCACCAGATTTTGTCGAGGGTTTTCCTCTACAAACAACAACGCTTAGAGAGAAAAAGATACAGCTGGAGGTAGCCTGAACAGAGTAGGAAGTTCACTGAAGGATCCACATTCATTTTAATACCAGGAACCCTACCATGGAGTCATTAAAGCATCAGTGCCTTATACCTGTAACATGAGCCTAATTGTTTAAGAGCCACCTTCAGTATTGAAGTAAACACAAACTGTTGTATTTACAGCTCCAGAGGGCAGTGCCAGTGTGCATCCTGGGACAAACGTGGAGGGCATTCATAGGAAGAGCAACAAAACCCAGTATCTGTACATGCAGCTGTGTCACATCGACAAAGAGCTGAGCCTGCTGGGACCCTCCGGCTGCCCCTCCCCACACAGCTACAGCCAGGCTCTGCAGCAGGTCCAGGGCATGAAGAGCGTCCTCGAAGATCAGCTCTTCACATCCAGCTGCATCAACCTCGATGAGCACACCCAGAAGAAGTACAGTAGTCCCTCATTAAAAAAGCCACACTGCTAGATTTGCACGTGTTAGTCTGTTATCCACAAACTGTTTGTATTTATTTATTTAAAATAAAGTGTACACTTAAAGTCATTTGGCTTTTTTCTGTGGCCATTTTTTAAAGTGGCTAAAACAACTTTTAACAGCTGGGAAATAACCTTATTTGCCTTCTTGCTGAGAGTTAGATAAACAGGTCAATACTACTCTCATGTCTGTGTGGTAGATGTGGAGCTAGAGCCTGTTGTAAACAGGGGAAATGGCTCTGTCCAAAGTTAACTATACAGACATGAGAGTGCTTTTGAACTTCTCATGCAACTCTCAGCAAAACAGCAAATAAGCTAAATATCCCAAAATGTTGAATGATCTATTACCCACAGTATGTGGGTAATAGACTAGAACTAGCAAAATCACTAGTTTCACCTTTTTAACATCTTTTATATTATTGTATATATCACTCTTTGTATACAGTTCATATCACACATAGAATCTCAAATCTGGTAATGTGAGTTTGATGTTTTGGATTTCCATTTAAAAACCATTTAAAATCATATTCATGTGAAATGGATGTAATTGTACTCCAGAGCTGTACTTAAGTACATTGTTTTTTTTTTCTTTGACTCCTTAGCAGATTGAGTCCTGCAGACAGCGCTGATGGTGACGGTGATCAGAAGAAAAGGATATGCTGTCATGGAGGTCTCCCCTGGTGGTTTATTTTTGTCGGCTGGCTGCTAGTGATCGCTACCAGTGTTGTTTCGGGATATTTCACGATGCTTTACGGTTTAAAATTTGGGAAGGAACGTTCCATAAACTGGTTGGTATCCATGATTGTCTCCTTTTTTCAGAGTACCCTCGTCATTCAGCCATTGAAGGTGAGAAGAACTTGTCTTTTTCCTCCTCATTAAGAACCTCGTACATCAGTAGTAGCTCAGGATTTCCAAAAGAATTACTTTTATGTATTATGAATTTCTCAATTTCATAGTTTTCTTACAACAGTAATAATTGCAGTAATGATCAATACTTATTCTCTATGAGCATGTGCCAAATATTCAATATTTTGGAGTGAAACTGTATTCACTTATGTTCATGCCTCTTATCTCAGGTGCTATGCCTTGCAGCCTTCTTTGCACTTGTAATAAAGAAAGTTGATGAGGAAGATTTTCAAAATGTAGCATTTGCAAGAAATGACTCAAATCAAGGTAAAAAAACAAAAACAAAACAATTTCTTGTTCTCAGATTTTGACTTATTGATGATCAAAAATGTTCAGGTTTTATAACAAATGTATTTTCACTCACAGGTGATTTTAAAGACCAGCAAACACTCAGACAGGATAGGAATCTCTATGAGCCGCCTCCTCCTGCAGACATTGAGAGGATGAAGAGGAACAAGATTATGGAGCAGAAAGCCTTTGCCCTCCTCAAAGAGATTTTGAGTGAGCAGAAATATATTTTTCACACATATATTGCACACAGGATTTGCAAGATGACAAGATCAATTGTGATTCAAATGTTTTCCAATGATAGAGTTTAATGAAATCATTCTGTTCCTGGTTTACTGCAAGACACTGTTACTATGCAAACTCATGACCTAAAACATACTACGTTGTGTCAGGTTAACCAGATCTTTATCCCTGCTCCCTCATTAGACTCTCTCTCTCTCTCTCTCTCTCTCTCTCTCTCTCTCTCTCTCTCTCTCTCTCTCTCTCTCTCTCTCTCTCTCTCTCTCTCTCTCTCTCTCTCTCTCTCTCTCTCTCTCTCTCTCTCTCTCTCTCTCTCTCTCTCTCTCTCTCTCTCTCTCTCTCTCTCTCTCTCTCTCTCTCTCTCTCTCTCTCTCTCTCTCTCTCTCTCTCTCTCTCTCTCTCTCTCTCTCTCTGTATGTGTGTGTGTGTCTACACTGTCGTCTACACAGTGGTCCGTCCCACATGTGACCAACAGAACAGATGCCCTTCTATTTTAATCGATACAGCTGTCTACACAGCCTACTTGTGCTATACACCCTCATTTACCTCTGTTTTGTAGTGATTATGTATCGGGCTCTTAGTGCTGTCGAAACCAGCAATAAATATTGTGCCTGAACATGTCAGGGCAGAGGGGTGAATTCTTTTAACAGGAAGGGCGCAGTCGGTACCCAAGGACACAGAGACTGAAAGTGATTAAAAAATATATTTATATTTTATATAATACAGTATATTGCAAATCTTCTATTTAATGTCCACAATGTGACCATACGTCTGTGTCCACAAGCAGCTCTCTCTGTCTGCTGCGGCTCTCCCCTCCCTGGCCTGCCTTTCAGCCACAGGTCCATCCAGCTGCTGGAGGACACCCTGAGAACAGAGAGCATCTGCCAGTAATCTGTCAGGACAACTTCCTGTACATCACAGCATATTACACACAGAGGCCGTCTGGCATGTGGCTCCTTGTTGCCATGGCGTGGCAGCAGTGTTTGGCCTTTTCTCTATTTTCCCCGTGAATCTGCCATGGTGCACTCATAGAAATGCTGAGGTAGATGCATACACAAGATGTCAATCAACACATTCACACCTGATCCTCACCTGAAGCACATAGTGCTGCTGCTGGCTCTGTTGTTTTCCTCTGTAGAGCTAGTGCTGGGCCAAAATGAACAAACTAATCTTTTCCACTGGTATTTTTGTGGGTTTGTTACAAATTGCATTTAGCTTTAAGCAGTGCAAGCTTTCCCCTCAGGGTTTACCAGAGCTGTGTACACTGGCTACTGAGACCGTTCAGTACTATGTATGAATCTATATTTACTATTGACCCAATTTGGCTTGTGCTGATACCAGCTCTCATACATACTCCTTTCCCTTGATACTACCCATACATGCAGCGTGTATGCTGAAGAGACTGTTTTGGGAGCTTCAGGGTTCACCAAATTTGTTCATGTATGAGTCAGACAGCAGTCTCAGTGCATGTTAACCTTTTAGCTTAAAAGCCTGTGGATATTACTCCTGATCCCTGCTGCCTGTGGACTTTGTGCGTGGGTGTTTTGATCAATTCCAGATGATCGTAGCATCAACACAGCTGTCACAGCAAGTAAAGTAAAAGCACTTCTGGAGTTCATAAGTTATCAGGTTTACGTAGCTTGCTCTGATCCCCAGCACTGTTATCGCATGCTGAATTTTCATAACTATAAGGTGGTGTGTTGTGTGTTTCAGCCTACTTGGGGTTTATGTGGATGTTGCTGCTGGTGGCGTACAGCCAGAGAGATCCCAATGCTTTCTTCCTAAACCAGCACATCCGGGACAGCTTCAGTGGAGCGATCACAGACAGCATGAGTCTTGGGGACGTGTTCAATTGGACCAACACATCTCTACTCAGTAACCTCTTTGGAGTTTATCCAGGTAAAAACATATCCCTCCTGGAGTGGTCAGGCATCATCCTGTTGTTTTAATTCTTGGAAACAAAAAATTTTTGTCAGAGCTGCATAGAAAGCTTTTGGGTTTCATCAGCGCTTTTTGATGAACTCTGATGTGGTGTGAATGTTTTCAAATGCAGTCCTGGCAAAAGTTATTCACCAAGAAGTTTTCATTCTATACATCAGGCCTAGTCGAGGTAAATACAAACCATTTGAATCTCTCCAATTTCAGCCTTGTCATTTGTAAAGCCAGAATGATGTATTATACACCTGGAAACATTTTGCAAAAAAATGTTTGTTCCCTTTTCTTATATCATGAAAGTTTAATAAAGTGTGTTTTTTCAGTTAAGTAAGTGGATGCACACTGCATTATGTCAAAAGAACCTAGAAATATTTTTATGCCTCCAGCCAACAGCAACAGCCAGAGGCATTATGTTTTCAGGTTGTTTGTTGGTCCGTTCCATTTTATATATATATATATATATATATATATGTGTGTGTGTGTGTGTATACATTTTTCAGTGACATGGAGGGAATTTCTTCTTCAACGTTCACTTTGATGCAAGGATTAACTGATTAGATTTTGGTCGTCAAAGGTCAACTCACTGTGACATCATAAAACATGTTTTTGGCCGTAGCTCAAGAATTCCTATGTAGTTATGACAAAATACACATAATACCATTCATTAAGTTCCTTTAAAGTCTTCATTACATATATGACAGACATAGATATAAAATGCAACTTGCCCGGTCGGTGGAGACATGCAACCACAAGGCAGTAATTCTAGTTTTTTTTTTTTTTTTTTCCTCTTTTGTATGACCAAAGTCATCTTTTGCTAAAGATCCTGTTGGTGTGAAAGCTGTTTGAAACCTTGAGTGCTGTCCAGAAAAGCAGGCTTCTCTCTCTTGTGGTGTGGAATTAAATAACAATCAACTCCACAGCACAGGAGCTTCACAGCAGCACAATCTCATTTCTTGTTGTGTGTCTTTTTAGTATCACTCAATAGCTTTCAGTTGGATTTTTTAAAGTCTTTCAGGTAGGCTACTGTCAGAAGGAGCAATTAACAGGTGCCAGATCATTCTAGTGATCTCTCTGGATAACTGTATATATTTAAAAATACTGCAGCAAGACTACTTAAACCCAGACACAATTAATTCAATGCTAAAGTCCCAGTCCTATACTTAGGGTGGACTGAGTTGATGCAATACCAGGTTATCTTTATGGGTAGAAAAGCAGCCAAGACATTGGGTTTTTTTGATCCATAGTACTCTTACTCTCTTTGTTGAAATACCCAGTTAGGGCAACCCACACTATTTTCGTGTCTCTGGCAGCAGTAACTGTTTTTTCCAAGACTTAGAAACTCGGCACAACAGCACTGTAACATTTAAGGTTGTTTACCTTTGACGGTTACAACCCTTGTGATGAAGAAAAAACAGGTATGACATTGTTTTAATTATTAGACAGATCGCCAGTGAAGCCTGGAGGTTTAATACTTAGGACTTTGTCTGGCCAATCATTGAATAGCAATACACAGGAGTGGAACCAATTTTATTTCATTATTTTGTGTTGTTTGTATTTTATTTATATTTCAAGTAACTTGGTGTGGACTTGTTCTTTAAATTTGTAATTTACTCTGATTCTGTGGTGAATATTGATCACATCAGTAGATAAAAAGCCAAAACCACCATATTTCACAAATTATTAACGATTTACCAACTATTGATTGTTAATGTGGCCGACTAGTCAGTTTTCTTTATTTATATAGACTATCAGTGGAAGAAATTGCTTACGAATTGCAGTTATTATTATTATTGTGTTACTTATATATTACTGTTGGGTGCTTTAACAGTCTACTCTCACTACTTGCATGTCAATATTTGTTAATGATTGTCCATAATGTGTGTATTCTGTGCAGTTTTGCATGTCTGCAGCGAGGCAGATGCTGTGCAGATTAAGCCTGATTTTAGCATCAGATTGTTTCGCCTGCAACTACTTATGGTATCATTACTAAATATGGTATCTGATTAATTGCCTGAACAATCCGCAATTGGGCTTTTAAATGACTGGACACTCAAAACCTTGTCAACCCCTTAATATGCATCATATGCAGTTTGCAGCTGACAATAAATTTGCGACAGTTTTTAGGTAAAACAGTATAAAAGCAGTGATAATTAAAACTAATTCTTACTTCAAAACATAAGTCAATCCATTGGTACTGGGTTTAGTTATAAAGTATTAAGTATTACATCACTTTAATGCTGACCCACTTCCTGTGTTCTGATTTTAATAATTTTACCTCAAAATGGCAACCATCAACACTATTAAGTAAAAAGCTCAATTGGCATGTAGTTGTGAATATGTAGTACAGAAAACAAACAGACCCTATTTCAGAAGAATTCTCTGAGTAAAACACCCCTGAATCAGACTGGCCAAAGGGTTTAAATGTGTGACATACAGAGACTGCAACCGTAACATTACTTTCATTCTGCACTGACCTGTGATAAATCAAAGAAAGAAATGCTGTGTTCCAGGATTTATCACAGATGGAAACTCCAAGCTGGTGGGTTATGCCCGTCTTCGTCAGCTGAGAGTTCGGAAGAACTCCTGTCAGACTGCAGGCTCCACGCTGCGGTTTGTGCCAGACTGTCAGGTGCCATACTCATGGGAAGGGGAGGACATGGGCTCCTATTACGCTGGCTGGAACCACTCTCTGGGGGGTAATGTCTCTACAAGCACCTCCAGCCCCTGGATGTACCAGACACAGGCTCAGCTCAGGGCTCACCCTGTCTGGGGAAAAATGGTGCTCTACAGGGGAGGTGGCTTTGTAGCAGAGCTTGGCCCAGATTTACAAAATGCAAGCAGGTATGCACATTTACATTATTGTGATTGATTATGATTATTCTCAGTAGTCTAAGTCTTATCTATGAGAAACAATGTATGCCAAAATTAAATACTTAACTTGCACATATAGTGCATTCAGAAAGTATTCAGACTTCTCTTTTTAGGTGCTCTTAGAGACCACCTGTGGAAAATTTAATTTATTGGACATGATTTTAAAAGGCATACACTTGTCTATATAAGGACTCACAGCTGACAATGTATATGAGACCATAAGCCAAGCTTTGAGGTGGAAGGAACTGCCTGCAGAGCTCAGAAACAGGATTGTTTCGAGGCACAGATCTGGGGTAAGCTACAAAAAAAACCTGCCTCATTGAAGGTTCCCAAGAGCACAGTGGCCTCCATAATTCTTAAATGGAAGAAGTGGCCAGGATTCTTCCTAGAACTGGCCGCCCGGTCAAGCAGAGGAACCTTGGAAAGAGGGGTGACCAAGAACTGGATGGTTACTCTGCCTGTGTTGAGATAGGGAAATCTTCCAGAAGGTCAACTATCACTGCAGCTCTCCACTGATCCGGGCTGTATGGCAGAGTGGTCAGACTGATGTGAAAGTTTACAACGACGAAAAAAAAAGCACCTAAAGGACTGTGAGAAACAAGATTCTCTGGTTGATGGAACTGTTTGGCCTCAATTCTAAATGCCATGTCTGGAGGAAACCAGGTACTGCTCATCACTTGCTCAATGCCATATTCTTAAGGAAAACCTGGACCAGGACCCCAGACTGGGCTGAAGGTTTACCTTCCAACAGGACACTGACCCCAAGCACCTTGAATATCTGACCCTTTTACTGATGTCTTTCCTATAGATTTCCCCCAGATGTTACTTTAGAAACTGTTTCTATTGACACTCGAGCCAGCTGAGCATCTTTGTGACTGAAGCCCCTGCCCCATCCGTGCCCCATCCCAACAATGAACCCTCCTCCAACGTCACTTAGATCTTTTCCTCTTGCCATCTTGATACAAAATCAGAATAGACTGGGCCTACTCAGCATTTTGATACATGCCACAGAGCATGATTGGATGCTAATTACTTGAATGTACCATACAGTGCAACTGTATGGATGCATCTACATTCCTTATGTTTCTCCACACATTTATTCAGGCTTTATATTAACATCGAAAATATGGTATATTCATGTAAAAAAAAAATATTTCTTTTGTTGGATGAGGCTGTACCATTTGACCGCAGGTGTAACAGTGGACAGTTAAAATGTTCTTGTGTATTTTATTCACAGCACCATTGAGTATCTGTTCAGGAACAGATGGCTGGATATATACACACGGGCATTCATTGTAGAATTCACCGTTTATAATGCAAATGTGAACCTCTTCTGCATCGTCACACTCTTGTTTGAGACCACAGCTGTTGGTAAGGTTGAGCATTTTCTTCATTATCGTTATCCAATCATTTTCTGTAGGAAATATAACATTATCATCGCATCAACTGCATGTATTTAAACATAACTGTTCCTATTGATTTTGTAGGAGCATTTCAGTTCCACAGTGAGCTGCAGAGTGTTCGCCTGTACCAATCAACTGGTGGTTTTCACATCTTCGTTATGGCTGCTGAGATCATATACTTGCTTTTCATCCTCTATTATATGTTCCTGCAGGTAAACACTAACATGACTACTATAGAATATGGTCTTAGAGCTATTAATTGCTTGGTTGCTACCGATGCATCAACCGGAGATGAATTCAGACTTTTAATGAGACTGCCAGAGGTGTTTTGATGTTTGCTGAGGGCTTCACAAATTCAAGGCTGACCTCAGATATGCAGGCAGGGCTCATTAGTCCGTTCACATGAATCCTGTCACACCAGATTTGAAGGGAGCATGCTGCTGATGGATACTTTTTGGGTTTCCTGATCAATATTTCCCCCAGAACATGCCATTGTTGTGAATGGCAGGAATCAATTTAACAAGATTTATTAATATTAGAGAGACTGATTTGAGGTTAAATAACTTTTGAAGGTACAAATGTGCATAACTTAACTGACTGTCAATTTATTTGTCAGTTCAAAAGCAATTTACAGCTGACTTCAAGCAGCTGCCAGATGCTACAGTATTCATCTCCACACTTAATGTTTCATGCCATCTTTCAGCCAAGTAAATTAAACAGGACACTTAAATTATTTTGATAATTTACATAATTTCATATATAACATAAGAAAATAAATATATGATGACATTAACAGTGTGTGTTGATGATGATGTTGCTCTGTTTGTGGGGATGTAATTGCATTAACATTTGCATTGTGTTATTTCCTTCCATACTGCACTTTTTTTTTTTAGTACAGCACTGAGTCATATCAAAATGACTATGTTTTTCTCACTCTCATCAGAGCCATTTTAGTTTATTTTCTTTTATATTCACCATTAAGTGTAATTTCAGAGACAGGACGGTGCCATTGTGTGTCCTTCCTTGCAGCCCTTAAGACTGTTACTGTGGTACAGGGACACATTAATAAACCCGAGTATTTTAGTCGTGACAAAACATCATGACATCTTGACAAAATGTGATACTGGTGATTTTTTAAGTTCAACTGGAAGTTTGGATATCAATCAGCATTAAGATCATTTCTCATCAGGAGTCACTCATATATACATTGCATATTAAACCCCATTGCAGTCAGTGCTAAGCAACTGCAACCACTACGACTTTTTAATTTTCTCCATTAAGATACCCACAAATTAATTAGGGTTATTTAAATACTGAACATGAGACCAACAGAGGTTAAAAAAAAAAAAAAAAACCTCTAATGGAAACACCCAGTTTTAATGAAAATTGATTAAATTCTGAAAATGATATTACAAATGATCATTTCAACAACAAACAGCAATAACTGGTTTTATTTGTGCAAATCTTTCAAACATGATTTCTGACAAATTTCTGACTTAAATCACTGTTTTTCCACCTTATAAAAAATTAATGGAACAAAACCATGGTCATGCACACAGACTGCCTCCTGTTGTGTTACATATGACACTGGTAATATTCTTTTCTCTTCCTGGAAGGGAAAATTAATGAAGCAACAGCATTGGGCTTACTTCAGGAGTAAGTGGAACCTCCTGGAGTTGGCTATCATCTTATTGAGCTGGAGCGCTGTGGCCGTCTTCATCAAGAGCACCCTGCTTGGAAACCGTGATATGACGTACTACCATAACCACAAAGACCAGTGAGACTAACATTTACTTTGCAAAAGGTTATGCTTTATCTTTAGGTGGTAGGGCATGAAACACACCTGAAGCTGTGCAGTGGGCATTAAGATGTGGTTAGGACGTGTTTTCTTTCTAATGCTTGTTAAATACGCCGTATTTGTTCTTATCTCTCCTTCGTTAGTCATTACACTATTCTGTAGTGTGCTTTGATGGTGCTCTTTTTCTTCTAATTTTGATTGCCACTACATTTATTTAAGCACAATTATGTGGTATTTGTAGTTCCAATTTCTAGTTTTTGCCACTTAATATTTCTACTTCACTACATTTCCTTTATTTAACATCTACTGTTAATTTTTACTTTTTAGATTGAGATATTAAAAAAATCATGACAAAGAATTCTGAAAGACTAAACCAGACGTTCTCAGTCTTTTCGGCATGTGACACCTTGTCACGTGTCATATGTCAGTGTGTTATTAATTCTACCAAAGATACCTTTCCCCATTAAACCTCTCTGATGGTTTCATTTAAATAAACAGTTTGAGTCTCAGAGAGGTAAAATTATCTAGGACTTAACAAAAAAAACATAGTTGAAAAGTAGAAAAAGATTGAGATTTATTTTATGATCATGGGGCTCAACTGCTAAACTGTAAATAAAGTTGTTAAAACTAGCTCCCCCTCAACCAGCTACAGCAGTAAAGTGCTGCGTATGTCCAAAATGCTGTGTATGCAAGATCTTATAAGAATTTTGAATGCAGAACTTTCACTTGCAATGGAGTATTTTGCCGTATTGGTACTTTTACTTCATAAAGGATCTGAGTAGTTCTTGCGTGGCTGTTGACAGCTCACATCTTTACTGTGTAGATTTGCTAGTTTTTACGAGACAGCCATGGCTGACTGGATGCTTCAGTGTCTGATCGCTTTCCTGGTCCTGCTCGCCACCATCAAACTGTGGCACCTGCTCAGACTGAACCCCAAGATGAACATGATCACAGCCACATTGCAGCGAGCCTGGAGTGACATATCCGGCTTTCTTTTGATCATTGTGATCTTGTTCATAGCATATTCCATTGTGGTGAGTATCTTCTCCATTTACTGAGATCTACCCCTTTTACAAAGATCACAGTCTTTCTGATAGTTATTCATTACATGGGAAAGAATCATAGGTCACTGTGATTTTCTGAGTTATTGCCAGAACTATATAAAATAATTTCAGACATTTGTTTCTAATACATGTTCCAAGAAATACTTACCTCACAGTAAGTGTTTTCACTGAAAGTCACAAGTTTACAGAATTTACCAGTCCCTTTACTGTGTGTGTTGGAGTTATATTGTACAGACATGGTGGTGGTGATCCAGTGGGAAGTGGGAGATATGTTCATTAATTTTAATCTTCTAATTGAATCTTTACAGTAAATATTTTGTTAAAATAGAAACATAAGTGTAAACCTCAGTCCATTATTTTGAAAATTATTTATTTCATCAAAACTGAAAACTTGATGGACAGAAATGAAATGATTGTGAAATGATTCACCTGTTGATCTAAGGGTCGTTCTTTTTCCAGTGCAATGTGATTTATGGCTGGAAGCTGTCCTCATACAGAACTTTATCAGATGCCCTCCTCACCATCATCGGCTTGCAGATAGGCATCTTCAACTATGACGAGGTGAGTGAGGTCTTCCCCTATTCACCATATGAAATACTTAAATATGAGGATATGAAGACAAATCTCCAACCAATATACATGTCCACAAATCAGGATAACGTGGTCAGTTTTAGCTCAAAATCATGATCTGACTGATTCACTGTTTGCCAGGTCTTGGACTACAACCTCCTGCTTGGTGGATTACTCTTTGGTTCCTGCATTGTGATCATGACATTTGTGCTGCTCAATCTCCTCATTTCAGTCATCCTCGTGGCATTCCACCAGGAGCAGATATATCACAAGGTAAAATGTATCATCTGGAGTCAGCATTTTAATGTTTATTGTTTTTTTCATTTTAACCCAAAAATACAAGTCAAATCTTTCCTTTGTGTTGTTTTTGATACATATCACCCAGATTAAGGTATATACATACAGGACACTGTTGTTAAGATTGTTAAGAAGTAGAATTTAAGACCCAAACACAGAGAGTTGTGAGTCTTTGAAAGGTGGAGCAGGACAGGCAGGGACACAGGAAGCGGGGTCAGGACTGGGTATGGTTTGTGGCAGCTGGTCTGAAAATCTTCAGGCACAGGAGACAAACAAGAAGCTGAGCATGACAAACAAACCAGAAAGTCCTGGTGATCCGAGGCACAAAGAAACACAGGGATTGTGTCTGAAATCTTTCACTCATTCACTTCTCCCTACTCACCATCTATGGAGTTCTCTTTAGAGCACTATATAGTGAGCTCATCGGTAAAATGAAAAAAAGAAGAAAAAAAAACACTTTTAGACACTATGTGGTTCATTTTACTGAACCATTTTTCTTTTTTTCTTGATGTTTATACATTAATTTATACTTATATATTTATACTCCTGTGCTTTTTGACAATCATGCTGCTTTCCCAAGGGGTTTGGGGTTTCCAAAGAGTCCTATCTGCAAAAACAGGGTTCATTAAATCATTTGAATTATTCAGTAACATTAATTATATTCTAAAAAGCTAGGGCTACTAGTTTACAGTCTACCCTTAAAACTACATAAAGTATTTCTGGTCTCCTTCAAAAGTGTGCACTAACAACTATTTCATGCACATGACATTTTTCAAGCACGGACAATTATTAATACCTGCTTGGGTGCAAAGAATAGAATCAAGGAAGATAAATGGTAGTGGAGAAAAGTTTAATCACCTGCCTAGTACAACAAGCAAACGTTCATGATACTAGTTTGCTAAACTTGCTATATTAATCATATCATGTTGCAGACCATTTCCCCTATGTTAAGATACAACCAGCTCTCTTTACCTGCTTGATGAGATTACACTAGGTGGACAGCAGCAGCCTGTGATGTACAAACAGTGGTCATGCCATATCAAGCCATAGGCTAATGTAGCTACTGCTGTTAGAATGACTGGAAAACAATGGTACTGCAACTTTCCCAGGTGTCATATGTAAGAAAAGGGACTAAAAATGATGCAAATGCATAATTATAATAATAATATAATATAATAATAATAATAATAATAATAACATGCAAATGAATTAGGTTGTTACAAGAGCAGCAGCAGCAGTACTTTTAATTAATGACATCCACTCGAGGTGCTATGTAGAGCTGCAAAGCTGTCAAGTTTTCAGTATAGTATAAATTAAATTCAGTCTTATCATAATAGAGTGAAATATATAATTTAATGAAAGAAATTACAAAAATAATTTGAATTCAGACTTACCTTGCAACAGTGTGACTGTATTTTTCTTTCTAAGAGAAAGTATGAAGAACAGTATGTAGCCAATACACACCACCCAGCTAGCTGGCAGTTGTCGAGCCTGCTGAAAGGCTCGGGGTCCGTGATGGTGGGTGGTGATGACATATTTGTATACATTATTTAATAGTTGTAAGGGAAAAATTCTTATCATCGGTGGTGAAGAAATAAGGCTGGCGTCCAGGGTGTCTTAAGCTGAGGATGTTTATTGATGCTTGATCAAGGAGAAAGGAGGAATCATCAATACAGGCTTCTGTGCATGATGTCACCTCAATTCTGAAGGTTATTTTTATACATTTAGAAAGATTACTATAGATAGCTTACACTCCATAATTGGTCAAATATCTAAAAGAAGAAGGAGAAGAGGGATGTGTGAATACACTATTGGTCCATTGACCATAAACAAGGAAGCATGATCTACACACACCCAGGTGCTGATTCTCAGAGCACCCAGCCACTTGTTACTGACCATCCAAGGTCTGCTGTTATCAACCATGGCACCAGCAGTATCAGCAGCAAACCAGGAGGAGGAGCCGCCTGAGCATCTCAAGACCTATAACATTTAATGCAGTAGCGGCACAGTGGCACAGATACCTAAGGCCTCACACTGACTTTTCACCCTGAGTCAATCACTCATTAGGTGGACGAGAGAAAGCTGGAGAATCCTCATAGTTTTCCTGCTTTATGGAGTCAAAGCATTTCGACTTGTCACATGGAGAAAAAAACAGGTGTTACTAAAAACATGAACAGTGGCTCTGTTCTATTCAAGTGTGCCAGTGGGTGGAGACCATTATTATAGTGAGAATTTAATTATTTACAGCTGTGCTTTTTCTACTATGACACATCAAGGTGCACCAGCAGAGCGATGTGTTGCTGTGCATGGCGGCCAACAGAAAAAACGTGTTTTAGACACTTTTAAAAATACCCACCGAAACAATCCAATATCCGATTAAATGTACGCTTCATGTAGAATATTTCAAGTGCACCTATGGACCGCACTGTATTATGCTGCAGGTCAGATGAGTAAAATCGGAAAGCAGCGTAATACATTGCACTCCGTAGGTGCGCCACTGTGTAGGAATACAGTATTCAGCAGTTTGAAAATGTAGTGCTAAAGGAAAGTGCTGTTTTCACGGGAAGATAAACCGCTTGAAATATTCTACATGAAGCATACATTGAAACGGATATTGGATTATTGCGGTGGGCGTTTATAAGTCTCTAAGTCTCTAAAACACGTTTTTCTGGTGGTCCCGTGCACAGCAACACATTGCTCTGCCACCTTGCCATGTGCTGCTGGTCGGCTTTCCTAACTGGGAGCACTCTGATTAGAATCTACTGCAAGTGATGTACCGACTATATATGACTATATATAACTCACACAACCCTACACCAAAAAAGCAAAACTATCCCTTTAAAGAGTAGTGAGTTTGGTAATGTCATGTATTCTGTAATCAGGTGCAGTCATGGTGCAGTTTAGCTGTCAAAGGTATAAAAGAATAATAATCAATAACTGCAGTCTTGGATGTTCCCATCAGTATTGTTTTGTCCTCAATCTTATTTCCCAGTAATGACCATTAATATCTTCTGTGTTTACACAGTGTGGCTTTCAGCACAGCTTTCTTTTGATGCTTTCTAAGGCATTGAGCACATTATCCACAACCAAAGTTTGACTCCCACTCTTCATTCCCAGCATGAAAAAAAAAAACAAAAAACACAATTTTTTTTACAAAAGCCATGGTACACCTGCGAAATGTCACTGTAATAGATAAACCAAAATTGTTTCATTGTTATTCTCTGTGGGGTATTTTGTGTAACAGCAAGAACTGAATTGCACTCCCAGTTTGATATGTCTTTATTTCACACAGCCTCAAAGACAAGAAATGGGTACAAACTGAGATCAAGGCTTACAAGCACTCGCTACATGATACGTTGATGGCACTGAGCAGTGTCAAGAGCTTCTCTTCAGTATTCCTTGTTACTCAAAAAATTATTTTGTCGTGTCTCCTCTCTTACCAAGCCCTCGGAGGAGGAGGAGATTGTCGCCCTGATGCTGAAGAAAATTTGCAGTCTTTTTGGGATCAGATATAAAGATATTAAAGACTCCCAGGGGGCTGACATGAATGGCAGCAGTGGTTTGACCCTTAATAACAGCAGAATCATCCCCAGGAATTCAATTGATGTCAATATTTTTCACACATCTGACAACTCACCAAACCCTTAATGACATAACTTGCACTATATATCCACATGCTAATTTGTTCATGTTCATTATTTTTTGCTTGTTCCTCACTGGGAGGTCAGAGGCTTGGTGTGATGCTTTGCGAGCATGGTGTGGTAGATAATTATCACATACACAATTAAACTGCTGTTTGTTGGTGTGAATAAGATATTGATTTAGAGAGCATACTCAGCATGAAGATAAAGTTAACACACTTTGCTTTGCATACATCGAGTTTCTTGACACAAACACAATGCATATAAATTAATAACTCTAAGAGTAGACAAATTAAGAAACTGTATGGACAGAAATTGTTTGAATACTCAAAACTATTAATAATCACTACGAACAATAAATCTTACAAATTAATATGAATTTTAAGCATCTTTCACCTTGTAAAATAAAAACATGACATCAGTAAATATACACACCTATAAGCTTGTTTTAATGCATGTTGTTCATTGTGTTATGTATTAGTTTGTTTTATTATATTTGCGTTTGTGAACATTGTTTAAATTAATGTTTCTGGTCCATTAAAGCCCACTATGGCAAAATGGCTTCATTTCTATTCCTTTTAGTTACCAGTACTGTGATGATGGTAAAAAAAAGTTTAAAAACAGCTACTTTGTCAAAAAAATACCACAGAAGAGAAACTGGTGCATCTGTGTTACAGTGCAGCCAAACAAATGTGTTAATTTATCTTTGCTCGTCATGTCACTAATAATTACACCCAAGATCTGATTTCATGCTGCATAGAGCATGAGTAGTTTTCCACACGACAGCAGGGCACAGTAAAATTGGTTACCTTGGTCAGAAGTTTGAAGTGTGCAGCCAATGGCCTGCAACTCTTTGTCCAACAGCTGATAAATAATAAATAGCTGCATCTTGTACTATTTCTGCCTTGCAAAGCTACAAATGATCCACTGACAAAAAAAAGCCAAAATGTATTCCTGTCATGTTTTGCCTTTTGATTTTTGATGATCAACTGTGATGTGGCTGCTTCACAATAAAAGCCCCCCCCCCCATGTTTTGCCAGTTGAACACTTTTAATTTGAAGCAGTGGCAAAACAATGTTCCGTGTCCACAAAGTGCAAAGAGAGTGAACAGTAAGCAGTGAGGCTGACATCGATAAAATTGCACTGGATTTTGTGAAGGCATTGTTTTTCTGTGAGTCCCTTGTTTTATCCAGCACAGGAATGGTGGACTCCACTACTGACAATAAAAACTGCCGTATAAAGAGATAATTACTGAATACATTTAATGGCCACTACAGAAAAAAAATTCCGACTAAGTAGGCTTTGGTTTCATGAAAGTCTTAAGGATTACATCCTTAATATCAAAGCATATTTTGTGTATTTTTAAGTAATTAATAATTAATAAGTGTCAGATACAGTATGGTATGTAACAAACATATAGGTGTAAGTGACTGCCTGTTACAGCATGATTGATATTCCAGTCCAGATGCTAATTTTGTCTTTTTTTTTTTCATCAGTCCATCTCTGAATGTCTCTGATGTTTGATATACACTGTCTCCAAAATTATGTGCACATCACAACATGACAGTTATCTCAGGGATTTGCTTTTACTCAGCCACAAGAGCACTGCTGAGGTGAGGTCAGGCACACACACTTATATTCATCTTGGAGATGTTGAATGGGGCTGATTGAGGTCGGTGCTCTGTGCCATCCAGTTCCTCTACTTAAAACACTGAAAACTCCCCAAATTGCTGCCACAAAGTTGGAAGCACACTACAGAGTAAAAATGTAGCCTACTTGTGTGCTGTCGCAAACAATAAGATACATCAAGTACAGTTATTGTAAGAGTGGCCCTAAGGTTTCCCCAAACCATAAAAACGCTCTGGGCCATTTTTCTTTCTTGATTGGTTATACCACTATTTCTGAAACTTTTTCAGACGAAGGACCATTTAACCATTAAAATAGAACTCACTCCCCAAACATGCCCAAAACCAATAGGGCTTACCACTTCAGTAATATCATGGTGAGCCTGCATGGAAAAATATCAGCTGGGACAGAGTTTTAATTATTGACACCATTATTGTGCACCTTGCACACTGCAAGATAACAAGTGGTGCTATTTATGTAGCATCAAAATTAAAGAGTCTCAAGTCTCAGTCATGGTGACTACGTTATAGTAAAACTTTACACTTATCTGTTGCATCCGTTATGTTGGAGGTTTCATTTGATTTTCTTTTAATTGACACGGCCTTAAGCCACCAGTCCATGATGTTGTCCGTTGTCCATGTTTGATAGTAAATAGGCTGATAACTGGTTAAATTTAGCACTGTCCCAGGGCTAGGCTAACCATGAGCTTCATCCACTTTTCCTCTCAAATGTCATGCTCATGATTTTTTGATATAAATCGTAAAACATAAACTCTAAACTAGTGTAGCTACACGGGTAGGCAGTGTCGCAAAGCGGTTGGTTACGTAGCTGTAAGTTCAACAGCCAATTCAAGTAATAATGTTTGAAATTATATATGAGTTGATTTAATATTGAAAACAACACATATACACTACTCGCTAGTTGGCTGTGTGGTAACTGGCATAGTTTTTTTTTTTTTTAAGTTACAATTTTTACAGGTGTTTTTGCCTTTATTCAAGCTTGAGTGAGAGAGAGACAGGAAAGTATATATCTATCATACAGGTGGATACGTGGAGTATACAAACAGTGTCCTATCAAGCCTTCATCACAGTTACAAAAATAAGTTTATGGAGTGGTCAAGGTTTGTTAGGAAAATAAGTACTTCATTAAGTGTATAGGATCTTCGTCGTCATGGTTACAATAATAAAAATGCAGTTAAGGTTTTGAAGGTCTCCGGTGTCAAAGTCCTGTGTTTTGGTAACTCATCCATCCACCATAACATCCACCTCCACCTAAACTTTGTCAGTTATAATAATTACAAGATGTGTCCATACATTTGGAGATAAATTCTCCCTGTTTTATGTCGTTGATTGAGTCTACAGTCTCTGTAACTATATGACATTCACCTCTCATGGGCAGTGAGCAGAGGAGTTAACAGACATAAAAGGTCACATTTGTCAGTCACCCAACAGACAGTGACAGTAGCTTCGCGGCTCTTTTCATATTTGTTGCTGTGGTGCAGCAGAGGCAGGAACACTGTGACAGCAGCTGAAAGTGGACTGATACCATGAAAGCTCCAGAAATGACACGAGCCACATGAGGCTGTCATCATCCTCAGTCGAGGCCTTCAGTCCAATAATATGTTTGACACCAAGGAAAAGCAGACACTGTCCTGTCTCCCTCTGCTACTTCTGCTAAATATTCTGGCCCCTCTCCTCTTCCAACAACTTATCTCCCTCCTCTTCCTCCACTCTCTTCCAACACTTTTATTCAACGGAGCGGGTGGAGTGTACATGGCTGCATGACTCCTCCTATTATAAGGAAAACACACAATGTGTAGTTTAAAACTATTAAGCAAGGGGACTATTTTGATTTTCTCTCTGGTTATCGAGATTATTGTAACACATCTCTCAAACATTGCTACTAAATATGTTTATAATTTGATTAACCAATGTAGTTGCTGCCTGGATTTTGTTAATTCGCAATATTTCTTCCTAATGCAAGTGTCTGACATTATCAAACTGAACAGATGTGACGGGGGAGGATGAGGGTGAAAAGCGCATGACTTTAAAACCAGAAAAAGAGGATGTACTGTATGTCCAACATGTTGTTAACCTTGGGCTGTTAAATGCTTTGATCAAGGTCAATGCTGACTTTTTCTTTCAGTCAGTATTGACATTTTGAGAATTTCATCAAACTTGTATGAGTGCCAGCTGCTCAGAGTTATACAACTTTGTTCAGTAATCGCACTTTAGTACAGAACAGTTTGTGAGCATCTTGCGTCTTTTCCTGGCCTTGGCGGCGAGACGGTTGCAGTTGGCATGGGAACAGTGCAGAGGTAATAAGTGCTTTGTTTGGCTATGAAAGACAAACATAAGAACAACATCCTCTGAGTCACAATGTAGGAGGTGAATATGAAGATTTAAGTAATTGGATTAAAAATAATATTGAGTACTAAGCTACCACAGTAAAAAAAATTAGTGGAAGCTGTTAACAGTGAGGACTTTATGAACCTGCTTAGTGATTTCAAACTCCACAAATGAAATTCCACTCCTCTCAAGTCTCAAGAAATAGTCTCTAGGGCTGCCGCAATTAGTCGCCTTAATCAATGACGTCAATGCTGAAAACGCGTCGACATCAATATTTTTGATCAAAGCATAGTTTCCCATAAATTGATTAATTTGTGGCAGCATCACAATATCAACATAAACAGTGACTGCCAGATATTGTTGGTCCATTCTATTATTTATGTTGGCGCTGCCTGATGTGGGGCTGCATATTCAGTGCACACACAGAGAGGGATAGCAGAAATGGTGGACACAGGAACAGGTAAGGTCAAGCTAACTCAAAGATTACTGCAGTTGATGACAACCATTACTGAACTTTGTGTTACTGTAAGTGCAATAAAAAGTAAAAGGCCAAGAAGTACTTTATCAAAACCATGTGTTCAACAACATATAGCACAGTGATCTGACCAACTGTTTTGTCCACAGTCTCACAGCATGTTCTACACAACCACAGCGCTGGGTAAGCTAACAACGAAAACTAAAGATGTCTGCATGTCATCTAACTGATAATCTTAGCTTACCGCTATCAGGTCTATGCTCTGCCTCACGAGCTGGATACCATATGTTGGACCTTCAATTGTCTATCAATTTATTGGCTATTATAAATGAAGAAAGTGTGTGGGGGTGTGTCCGAGTGGACACAGACAAAGGCAAGATGGCCGATTCAAAATGGTCGCTGTGACCACATGGCCTGAACAAGGAAGACAACACAAGATAGTGATAAACAAAGAAACTACTCAAAATCGCCGCTGAGATCACCACATTACAACAACAAAACATTAACCAATGTTGGGTCTATAGACACGGGGCACCATATGTTGGACCTTGACTCTGT